ATCTTTTTGGTTGAGAAAGGAAGGCAGCGGACGTTCTAACGAACCATCCCTCCGTAGCAAACAACATGCAACTATTTAATACCACTAGACTTACAATTTAAAGTTTTTTTTGGCTAATTATGACTGGGATGCCCAAACAGTAATTTTGGTTTAGTTTTTCATTTTTTTTTGATTTAGATAGTATAGAAACCAAATTAAACCAATTTAATTATAAAGTAAACTAAACGAAACCTAAAATTTTAATTTTTTTTGGTTTAGCTTTAAATTTGATTTATTATTATTTAATAAATATTTAAATAAATTATTTATTTATTTTTATTATCAAATATGTATGTATATGCACGCATTTCGACATGTGTGTGTATGTGTATATTTGTATATGCATACACACATACACACACACACACACATATATATAAACATATATATATTCACATAAGTATAATATATAAACATATATATATATTCACACAAGTATAATATATATACATATATATATTCACAAAAGTATAAAAATATATATGTTTGTGTACACACACTACAAGAAAATGGGAAATTTCTGACACAAATTTTCTGACGCAAAGAATTGTATCAGTTTACCGATGCAATTTCTGATAATATTTTGCCAAAAATTTATTATATATCCAATCAAGAGAAAAAAAAAAGCACAAAAATACTTTCTGTCAAAATTATCGACGCAAAAAGTTTCTCGGTAATTATTACCGATGCATGTTATGGTCGGTAATATATTAAAAAATTAAAAATAATAATTTTTAAAATTACCGACGCAAGGGAAGCGTAGGTAAATTTTAGAAAATAAAAAAATAAATAACAATATATTTTTTACGGATGTAATGCAACATAATAAAAAACAAAATAAATTTAAAATTTAGAATTACCGATGTAAAAAATTGCATCGGTAATAATAAAAAATAAATATATTTTAAATTTAAAATTATCGACGCAAAAAGTGCATCGGTAATAATAATAAATAAATAAATTTAAAATACAAAATTTATGACACAATTACTGATGTAAAATTGCATCGGTAATAAAAAAAATTAAATATATTTTAAATTAAAAATTACAGATGTGAAATTGCGTCGGTAATAATAAAAAAGTAAAATAAAAATTGCCGCCCAATTACTGACGCAATTTTGTTGCCTTGGTAAATTAAAATATATAAAAATTTATTTCATTTACTGACACAAATTTGCGTCAGTAAATTGGCTAACAAAAAATATAATTTAATTTCCGATGTAGGGAGCGTCGGTAAAGTAAAATAAAATGAAAAATAAAAAATAAAATACATTATATTACTGACGTATATATGTGTTGGTAAAATAAAATAAATATAATTAAAAAATTTAAATTATTTAAAAAATAGAATAAAATCTTAATATAAATATTAATATTTAATTGAATTAGAAAATTATTTTTTTACTGTTGTGTTGTTAATTATTTTTAATCATTCATTTGGTTATACGAAACTTAGATGTGGTGAATGATAAATAAATATTTGGTACACTTCTGAAACAAGAACTTCATTTTCAGCAAAGTGGTATCAAAGCCTAGCAGGAAACCATGAGGTCTTTGGGTTCCTCCTTACTGGGTGCATGCCTCGCGAGCGATAAATGAGGCCTTTGCTATGCACGCACGAACCGCATAACGTTGGGAAAGTAAATAAAATAAATAAATTTAAATTATTTTAAAAAATAAAATTTTAAATTATTTAAAAATATATTACTGACGCAAATTTGCGTCGATAATTAAAAAATTTTAATTTATTTAAAAATATATTACCAATACAATTGTGCATCAGTAATTTAAGAATCTTAAATTATTTAAAAATATATTACCGACGCATGTCACTTTGCGTCAATAAATTGTTTTCGATGACCATATTTCCGACGCAATTCTTTGTGTCGCTTAGTGCATCGAAAAGTTGATTTTCGATATATATTTTGTATTTACCAACGCAATTTATGCGTCGGTAATAGCCATTTTTCTTGTAGTAATATATATATATATATATATATGTGCATAAACATGTAGACACATATATATTTATGCAATTATGTGTGTATATATATGAATATGTAGATATATATGTATATATGCATATTTGTATGTATATATGTATATATACATAAAATATATATATTCACATAACTATAAAAATATGTACGAGTTGGTGTACACGCACATATACACATATGCGTAAATATGTAGATATATATATATATATTTATGCATTTATGTGTGTATATATACATATATATTTATCTATATATATATGTACATACATTGTGTATTTATATAAATCTTATACTATTAATTTGGCCAAAATTAATAGAGGGATTTAATTATAGTTGACTTTTATTATATTGATTTATAGTTATCTTTTTTTTAAATAGTAATATATTTCATTTGTTGATTTTAATCAAATTAATTATGTAAGGTTTGATGTAAATATTTTTACATTACACTCGTGTCAATTAATTATATATACGTATGTCTATATGTGTATGTATTTATATATTTATTAAAAATAAAAATATATGTATATATTTATATTTATATGAGTAGATAAAATTTATACATTTATGCTCCTACGTGTGTGTGTGTGTGTGTGTGTGTATTAATAATTTTTTTATAAAAGACAAATGTTTTTAAAATTTTAGTTTTTGATTTAGAATAGACCAAAACAAATCATAATTTTAAATTATTTTTTTAAATCAAAACAAATGAAATTAAATTAAAAAAATTACACCAAATTTTAAATTTAATTTGATTTTGTTAATTGATTTGATTTTGTACACTGTTGATGAGCATATGAATTGACATTATCCGGAAGTTCCCTTTGTTCCGTTGTCAGTCAAGTTGAAAATGTGTAAGCTGACGGTACTTTGTCAAAGCAAGTAAGGAAAGAGCTCTAACTAATAACGAGATCGCCTTAATGAATCAAGTAGCAAGATCATATATCTCCATGCTTATGTTTATCCGATATACCAGGCCTTACTTAATTGACCTTTAATTTTTTGCATGACTGCTCAGAATAAACCAGCTTCACATATATTTTTCTATAAGTTGAGTTGACATTTTCTTTTCTTTTTTCGGGATAATCGAATTGAACCTCAATGTTATTACGAACTTTTTGAAGGAGACTTGAGTTTGGTAACAGTGGGTAGGATGGTCTTCAGGACCCAGCTTGAACTTTTCTAAGGTTTGGAGTTCATTGCGTTTATCTTCCACCCTTCATTCTAATTATCTTTCACCCTTCGCAATTTGCCGATGGTTTGAAAATTATATATTCTTCTTTATGACTTGAATAATATTTTAATCTGGTACAATACTCTGAAACTTACACAAAATGGTGTAAATGCTGTGATGGAAAATATGATCTAGTGCAAATGTTCAAAAAGTAAAATTCTGGGAGCTTGCACAAAATGGTGGAAATATGGAGATGGAAGTATGATTAATTTTACCAGTTTATATTCTGTAAAGCACGGAAGAATGAAAATCATATGAGAATTTATAAAAACATAACAATTACATAACCATTTGTCAAAAAGCTCATCCTTTTCCTAGCTAGATGGTCAATCTGTATAACAAAACTACAGTACCTCTATTGAAGCCCAGTAGCAGCATTGTATACCGAGTTGTCATTTTCTTTTGTAAGTTTCTTTTTCTGGTTTTTTTTTTGTGAAAATGTGTGCATGTTTTTCTACATTTGGTGCATTAATTATGTAACCTCATGCCACTTGTTTATTATATTAACTTGTTTTCATGCTAACGTGCTTGGTTTTTGCGGCTGAGTATATGTGCTACTTTTGCTAATTTGAGTTAAAGAGTGATATAAAATCCGTCTACTTCGGATGTTATATCTATAATTAGTACATTTATCATAATTAGCAACTCTTAATTCTATATTAATGTTCATCGATATTATCACTATCATCAATATAGTCACTATTTAACGAGTCACATCGTCTATGTCAATATCATTATTAATAATTTAAACTTGTTATCTAGGCACTTTTTAGAAATACAGTAACAAAAAAAAAAACATTAGAATTTGTTGCAAGGTATTAGAGCAAATAAGGCCGTTCAGTTTCTATGAAAATTAACACTAAAAAGCCCTTAGAGAGGGATGAGGCTAAGCGGAGTGGAAATGGTTTCTTATGAGATAGGAAATATTAACTATTAATCCTATATGAAGTTTATGAATAAATGATTATCTGATAACAAATAACAAATAAGAGATATCCCTTTTTTTATCATACATTAAACTTGTAATTCGTTAAATACTATACAAAGAATTACATAGGATGATTGTGCAATTGTTTCTCCCATGTGAATTCTATTGTAACTAGAAGGATTTTTCCACTTTTCTTTCTGGAAATTGGTTTGGTGCAACCTGCCTTAACATATAACATGCATTCTGATGGATTTTTATTTAAGCAGGAGAGGTTTCTTGTTGGGTTTTGCAGGCAATTATCTAATTATTTCACATTATTCTTAACGACCTTTTTCTCCATATCCGTGTCCCTTGACAGAACCAAAAAAACAAAAAAAGGGAGAAAATATTTTTGGGTTTTGAGATGCCGTAGGAAAATTCAATACATCAACTTCAACTTTCCAAGAGATTCAAGGATTGATAATCCATTATTTTTGATATCTGGGAAGAATTCTTCTTGTTTCAAATTTTGCATTGTTAGTTTATAACTGTATTGTCCATGTAAGAACCAAAATATTTTTTTTAAAAAAAATGTTTCATTTCAAACGTTTAAACTGGGCAACGAAGCGAAGTGCGGCCGCTCTTGTCCAGGACACAAAAATAATAGCGACGGTTCGACCTCTAAAATTCGCACAGTCGTACCCTACTTTCCCGCCATTGTTACCTTTTTCGACTTCTTATATTCTTTCTTCTAGCGATTCTCCCTCTCTCCGCCTACCCCACCTCTCTCCGCCTACTCGACCTCGCAGATTCATCATCCATGGCAGACTTTTTCTCTCTTCTTCCGGACACCCTCATCATTCTCATCATCTCTTCCCTCCCCTTCAAAGAGGCCGCCAGAACCTCCGTGCTCTCAAAGCGCTGGCGTCGCTTTTTTCACGAAACCAAAACCGTTGATTTCGATGAGACCCACTTCATAAAAGAGAGCACTGAAGAAGACCAGAGCAAAAAAGACACCCAGAGAAGAGCATTCCTCGATTTCCTCAGTGATTGGGTCCGAAACTCCACCGCACCCGTTTTGAACAAACTTCGCCTGGCAATCTCCAACCCCCAGGACAGCGCCCTGCAAGTTAACAACTGCGTTAGATTCGCAGTCGACCGAAAGGCGAAGATTCTCGAACTGGACTTCTCGGATCCATCGTGGAATGAAGAAAGTTTTGAAAACCACGATGCCCTGTTCGATTTACCACCCTCCATTTACGAGCACGACACTCTGGAATTTTTGAAGTTGTTCTCTTGCAATTTCTTGTCTTCCGGGTTTGAAAATTTCACTAGTCTCAAGTCGATTTCTCTGGGTTGGATTGAATTGCCCAATTCATCTCTCGGGTCCCTGTTATCCACATGTAGATTTCTAGAAAACTTGTCTTTAAAGAAGTGCTGGGGGTTGGAATATGTAAGTGTTTCAGCGCCGAGGCTTAAGAGTTTGGTGATTGACAAGTGCTTGGACCTTGAGAATGGGGTTTGGATTAATAGTAGAACAAAGTTGAGGGTCTTCAAGTACATCGGGTTGTTGGTGAACGTTGAAATTGAATCCTGGAGAGACTTGGAGGAGGCATACCTTGATTACGGCTTGGAGTCTAATTTGCGGGATTGTGGGGACCTGCTTTATCAAACCCTTGACAATGTTTACTCCGTTAGGCATCTTACTGTGTGCAGTTATATGCTTCAGGTATGCCAATCATTTTCTCCATATTTAAATGCACATGAATGAAGCTTCAAAAATATTTATGGAAGAAAATTTTGTATATATAAAAAAATCAGTGTTATTTAAAGTTTCTCTATTGAATAGTTCTAATAACTATATTGTGCATTTTACGTGCATGTTTAAAATAGACTCTCTATGTATCCCTATGATGTTTTATTTTCATCATTTCGATTTTTGTGATTCTATGTTTATGGTAAAGTTAAGGATAATAGAAATTAGTGGTTTAATAAACCAAACTAGGTCATATAAACCAATTAAAACCATGGTTTCGTTTGATTTGATTTACTTTACAAAAGATTTTTTTATATGATTTAGTTTGATATTTGATATCTAAACAAACTATATACACGAACCAAAATTGTTTATTAAAAACTTTATTTTTATACATTTAGCTTATATTTATTGCTTGATTATATATTTTTTCTTTTTATTCCCTTTAATATTTAGATTTCTTTTAATAATTGATTATTTTTCTTTCTTCAAAATTCATTAATATGATTTAAAATTTGTAATATTTTATAAATATATTTGATATATAACGTCTTGCTTTTGGGGTTAATTTATAGATAATAAAATTGTTAAATTAAACAAGCTGAAGAAGATTTTTGGATGACGGGAAAAATTCTTATCAAAATTTTTATAAGAATTCCAAAAATTATAAATTGTAAAGTAAGATTTGTTTTGAATTTAAATATCCAACAAACCGGACCATAATAGAAAGAAGAAAACTACTTTCTTTTTCTCTTTTATATTTATATTATTTCTGATAATGGATTTTTTTTCCCTCTCAAAAGTGATTTTTATTGATATGAATCAAGTATTATAATACTGAATAAATATATTTGTTATTTAAAGGTTCTCTTTTGATTAATTAAATGATTATGCATGTATTTCATGTGCATGTTTAATGACTACACACATGAATTTTATGTGCATGTCTAATGACTATGGGTGCATTTTATGTGCATGTTTAATTTGAAGTCGAATCAATTCATAAATTGTGTTTTGATTTTATTTTTAAAAATTACAAGTCAAAAAATATGATTTAATTTGAATTTGAGTATCAAATTAAAGCAAACTAAACCACACACTCCTAACAGAAATACTTCTAATTTTTTTACTTGTACATCACTTCTAATTTTTCTAATTGTACATCACGGGTTCACAAAATATGTAAAAGAAAGGAAAACTAATGTAAAATTGCTAAATTGAAATAACAATTTTTACTTAATTTTTGATCATGCACAGGAGATTCCCTCTGCAGAAGATTGGCCCACTATGAAACCTCCTCTCCAGTGCTTGAAACTCTTGACTTTGAAAACTGCCTTGCATCCTCACGAGTACCATGGAATCTCTTTCTTCCTCAACAGCTGCCCCTGCCTAGAGACCCTCACACTCGACATAGTCCCCTCAAAGATATTTCAAGTGAGTATAACGATTCTAACTCTTGTGTGTGCAAAAGCACTTTTTTTAAACAATTTTTATGATGGACGGTTGAACTAAGAAACTCATATTGGAGTGTACTTAATGCTTCAAACAAACAGATTATAGGAATACAAAACAAGTTTATCCAATGCCCTTACATGTTTTTATTGGGGTATGTTGGTAGGAGCGAGCTACCCATCTTCCACTACAAGAACACGAATTCTTGGGCAATTCCAAGTACGTGCTGGTGCAGAAGTGGATGAAAAGCTTGAAGGTGGTGGAAGTGAAGGGCTTCAAAGGAGGAGTCTTTGAAGTGGCAGTAGTGGGATTTCTGATGGCGTGTGGAAGAGGACTGGAGAGGCTCTCCATTGTGCTATCCAAGGATAAGGGGGATCCTAGTCAAGAGGACAGGTACCGAACGGATGCCGAAAGGTTGCTGAGATTTCCAAGAGCCTCAGCCTCTCTGCGTGCTTCAATCATCTGAGAGTGAAAAAGAAATTGAATTTTTTTCCTCTCAACCTTTTGTATACATATGAAGTTGTCGGATCTTTTTTTACCTTATATAACAACCCAATGAAGTTTCGAATGCATTCAATGGATTCAAAAGGAGGTGAACATAGTAAGTTGTTGATTGAACTGAAAATTTAGCAGCATTTCTTTCACAAGCTCATTATGACCTATACAATCTAGTTTTATGTGCCAACAAATTAATTTCCTTTCTCTAATGTGTATCATTATGCTAATGAACTTTGAAGCTCAAATATAGCTATCAAGGGGCTATTCTTTTTCAATTCTAAAAATACATATTTTTAAAATTGAGATATATCTTTAAGACATAGTATTTTAGAAATAATGAGGTATCGTTCTTTTATTATGTATTTTTGAGATATGTTTATGAAATTGTGTTTTTTATATAATATTTTTTAGAGAAATATTAATGTAAAAAATAGAATGTTAAAGGTTCAAATGCAGTAAAAAATAAATTAAAGAAGATACGTATGATTGAATTAACAATATTTAAATGTAAACAATTAAAGTGAAAAATAGTTAAAATATCAATGACGGTGTGTGTGTGTGTGTGTGCAATACACACACATTATATGTGTATGTGTACGTTATATATGTATGTATAACATATAAAATAGTACTTTAAATAAAATTATATATTATATGCATAAATATATAATATATGTTATATGTGTTGATATAGTAGAATATAATATACATAATATATTATATTCTACATTTTAATATATAAAAAATGTATATTATATATATGATATTGTATATAATAAAATTTTTTATTTTAAATATAAACAGAGTAGTTTACTTTAAAAATTGTGCTCAATTTCAAAAGTAAAATATTTCAATTTTTGAAACTTGTGTTTCGGAGATATTGTTCAAAAGAACAATATTTCTATTATTTTGACTTCAGAAATAGAAGTATATACTTCTAAGATTGTAAAAGAATGATTCCTAAACTTCTTTAAATTTTCTTATTAGTGTTCTTTGTGTATTAACACAGTTTTGTCACTTTGTCTATCGAAAGAGGATCTTTTATTGCTGAAAATTAAGTCATTTTTTATAATTGTGCACTTAAGAATTCATGTGCACTTAACAGAACCCCTGTAATAGCTGTTATCTTTTTGGTTGAGAAAGGAAGGCAGCGGACGTTCTAATGAACCATCCCTCCCGTAGCAAACAACATGCAACTATTTAATACTACTAGACTTACAATTTAAAGTATTTTTTTGGCTAATTATGAGTGGGATGCCCAAACAGCAATTTTGGTTTGGTTTTTCATTTTTTTTTATTTAGATAGTATAGAAACCAAATTAGACCAATTTAATTACAAAGTAAACTAAACCAAACCTAAAATTTTAATTTGGTTTGATTTAGTTTTAAATTTGATTTATTATTATTTAATAAATATTTAAATAAATTATTTATTTATTTTTTATTATCGAATATATATGTGTATGCATGCATATCGACATGTGTGTGTATATATATGTATATATATTTGTATATACATACACACACATATATATAAACATATATATATTCACATAAGTATAAAAATATATGTGTTTGTGTACACACATATACACACACACATATATATGCATAAATACATAGACGCATATATATGTATGCATTTATGTGTACACATATATGTATATGCAAATATATATGTATTCATCTATTTATATATAAATATATATGTATATATATTTGAATGTACATATGTATATATACATAAAATATATATATTCATATATATATATATTCACATAAATATAAAAATATGTACGAGTTGTTGTACACACACAAATACACATATATATACATATATATATACACATGCGTAAATACGTAGATATATATATATTTGTGCATTTATGTGTGTATATATACATATATATTTATCTATATATATATGTATGTATACACACATTGTATATTTATATAAATCTTATACTATTAATTTGACCAGAATCAATAAAGAAAATTAATTATAACTGTCTTCCATTATATTAATTTATAGTTATCTTTCTTTTCGAATATTAATATATTTCATTTGTTCATTTTGATCAAATTAATAATGTAAGATTTGGTATAAATGTTTTTACATTACACTTGTGTCAATTAATTATATATATGTATGTCTGTATGTATATATTTATATAAAATAAAAATATATATATGTATTTATATTTATATGAGTAGATAAAATTTATAAATTTATGCTCCTATGCGCATGCGTGTATGTGTATTAATATTTTTTTATAAAGGATAAATATTTTTAAAATTTTGGTTTTCAGATTAGAATAAATCAAAACAAATCATAATTTTGAATTATTTTTTTAAATCAAAACAATCAAAACTACATTAAAACAAATTTTAAATTTAGTTTAATTTAATTTAATTTAGTTAAGTGATTTGATTTTGTACGCACCTAATTACGAGCATATGAATTGACATTATCCGGAAGTTCCCTTTTTTCCGTTGTCAGTCAAGTTGAAACAGTGTAAGCTGATGGTACTTTGTCAAAGCAAGTAAGGTAAGAGCTCGAACTAATAATGACATCACCTTAATGAATCAAGTAGCAAGATCATATATCTCCATGCTTATGTTTATCCGATATACCAGGCCTTGCTTAATTGACCTTTAATTTTTTGCATGACTGCTCAGAATAAACCAGCTTCACATATTTTTTTCTATAAGTTGAGTTGACATTTTCTTTTCTTTTTTCGGGATAATCGAATTGAACCTCAATGTTATTACGAACTTTTTGAAGGAGACTTAAGTTTGGTAACAGTGGTTAGGATGGTCTTCAGGACCCAGCTTGAAATTTTCTAAGGTTTGGAGCTCATTATGATTATCTTCCACCCTTCATTCTAATTATCTTTCGCCCTTCTCAATTTGCCGATGGTTTGAAAATTATATATTCTTCTTTATGACTTGAACAATATTTTAATCTGGTACAATACTCGGTAAACTTACACAAAATGGTGTAAATGATGTGATGGAAAATATGATCTAGTGCAAATATTCAAAAGCAAAATTCCGGGAGCTTGCACAAAATGGTGGAAATATGGAGATGGAAATATGATTAATTTTACCAGTTTATATTCTGTAAAGCACGGAAGAATGAAAATCATATGAGAATTTATAAAAACATAACAATTACATAACCATTTGTCAAAAAGCTCATCCTTTTCCTAGCTAGATGGTCAATCTGTATAACAAAACTGCAGTACCTCTATTGAAGCCCAGTAACAGTATTATATACCGAGTTGTCATTTTCTTTTGTAAGTTTCTTTTTCTGGGTTTCTTTCGTGTAAATGTGTGCATGTTTTTCTACATTTGGTGCATTAATTATGAAACCCCATGCTACTTTTGCTAATTTGAATTAAAGAGTGATTTAAAATCCGCCTATTTCGGATGTTATATTTATAATTAGTATATTTATCATAATTAGCAACTCCTAGTTATGTATTAATATCAGTATCGATATCATCACTATCATCAATATTGTCACCATTTAACGTGTCACATCGTCAATGTCAATATCATTATTAATATTTTAAACTTGTTATCTAGACACCTTTTAAAAATATAGTAATAAAAAAATATTAGAGTTTGTTGCGAGGTATTAGAGCAAATAAGGTTGTTTAGTTTTTATGAAAATTAACACTAAAAAACTCCTAGAGAGGGATGAGGCTAAGCGGACTAGTGGAAAGGGTTTCTTATGAGATAGGAAATGTTAACTATTAACCCTACATGAAGTTTATGAATAAATGATTGTCTGATAACAAATAATAAATAAGAGATATCCCTTTTTTTATCATACATTAAACTTGTAATTCATTAAATACTTTACAAAGAATTACATAGGATGATTGTGCAATTGTTTCTCCCATGTGAATTCTATTGGAATTAGAAGGATTTTTCCACTTTTCTTTCTGGAAATTGGTTTGGTGCAACCTGCCTTGATATATAACATGCATTCAGAACCATTTGATGGATTTTTATTTGAGCAGAAGAGGTTTCTTGTTGGGTTTTGCAGGCAGTTCTTATTATTTCACATTATTCTTAACAACCTTTTTCTCCATATCCATGTCCCTTGACAGAACCAAAAGAAAAAGAGTAAATTTTTGTGGGTTTTGAGATGCCGTAGGAAAATTCAATACATCAACTTCAACTTTCCAAGAGATTCAAGGATTGATAATCCATTATTTCTGATATCTGGGAAGAATTCTTCTAGTTTCAAATTTTGCATTGTTAGTTTATAACTGCATTGTCCATGTAAGAACCAAAATATTTTTAAAAAATAAACCGTTTCATTCCAGATGCTTAAACTGGGCAATGAAGCGAAGTGCGGCCCCTCTTGTCCTGGACTAGCGACGGTTCGACCTCTAAAATTCGCAGAGTCGTACCCTACTTTCCCGCCATTGTTACCTTTTTCGACTCCTTATATTCTTCCTTCTAGCGATTCCCCCTCTCCGCCTACCCCACCTCTCTCCGCCTACTTGACCTCGCAGATTCATCATCCATGGCAGACTTTTTCTCTCTTCTTCCGGACACCCTCATCATTCTCATCATCTCTTCCCTCCCCTTCAAAGAGGCCGCCAGAACCTCCGTGCTCTCAAAGCGCTGGCGTCGCTTTTTTCACGAAACCAAAACCGTTGATTTCGATGAGACCCACTTCATAAAAGAGAGCACTGAAGAAGACCAGAGCAAAAAAGACACCCAGAGAAGAGCATTCCTCGATTTCCTCAGTGATTGGGTCCGAAACTCCACCGCACCCGTTTTGAACAAACTTCGCCTGGCAATCTCCAACCCCCAGGACAGCGCCCTGCAAGTTAACAACTGCGTTAGATTCGCAGTCGACCGAAAGGCGAAGATTCTCGAACTGGACTTCTCGGATCCATCGTGGAATGAAGAAAGTTTTGAAAACCACGATGCCCTGTTCGATTTACCACCCTTCGTTTACGAGCACGACACTCTGGAATTTTTGAAGTTGTTCTCTTGCCATTTCTTGTCTTCCGGGTTTGAAAATTTCACTAGTCTCAAGTCGATTTCTCTGGGTTGGATTGAATTGCCCAATTCATCTCTCGGGTCCCTGTTATCCACATGTAGATTTCTAGAAAACTTGTCTTTGAAGAAGTGCTGGGGGTTGGAATATATAAGTGTTTCAGCGCCGAGGCTTAAGAGTTTGGTGATTGACAAGTGCTTGGACCTTGAGAATGGGGTTTGGATTAATAGTAGAACAAAGTTGAGGGTCTTCAAGTACATCGGGTTGTTGGTGAACGTTGAAATTGAATGCTGGAGAGACTTGGAGGAGGCATACCTTGATTATGGCTTGGAGTCTAATTTGCGGGATTGCGGAGACGTGCTTTATCAAACCCTTGACAACGTTTACTCCGTTAGCCATCTTACCATGTGCAGTTATATGCTTCAGGTTTACCAAGCATTTTCTCTATATTTAAATAGTCATAAATGAAGCTTCAAAAACATTTATGGAAGTAAATTCTGTATTAAAAAAAATCTTGTTATTTAAAGGTTCACTTTTGATTGGTTCAAACAACTTTACCGTGCATTTCATGTGCATGTTTAAAATAGACTCTTTATGCATCCCTATGATGTTTTATTTTCATCATTTCCGTTTTTGTATTTCTAAGTTTATGGTAAAGTTAAGTATAACAGAAATTAGTGATTAATAAACAGAATTAGATTATATAAACCAATTAAAACCATGATTTTGTTTGATTTGATTCAATTTACAAAAAATATTTTTTTATATAATTTGATTTGATATTTGATATCTAAATAAATTATATACACGAACTAAATGTGTTTATTAAAAACTCTATTTTTATAAATTTAGCTTATTTTTATTGCTTAGTCATGTATTTTTTCTTTTTATTCTCTTTTATATTTAGATTTTTTAATAATCAATTATTCTTCTTTCTTTAAATTTAAACTCTATAATATTGTATAAATATATTTGATATATAATGTGTAGCATTTGGGGTTTAGATAATAAAATTTTTAAATTAAACAAGCTGAAAAAAATTTTTGAATGACGGAAAAAATTCTTATCAAAATTTTTATAAGAATTTCAAAAATTATAAATTGTAAAGTATGATTTGTTTTAAATTTAAATATCCAACCAATCAAACCATAAACACTCTAATAGAAAGAAGAAAACTACTTTTTTAATTCTCTTTTAAATTTATATTTTTTTCTAATAGTGAATTGTTTTTCTTTTCTCAAAAGTGATTTTTATTAATATGATTCAAGCATTATAATATTGAATAAATATATTTATTATTTAAAGGTTTTTTTATTAATTAAATGATTATGCGTGCATTTCATGTGCATTTTTAATGACTATGCGTGCATTTTATGTGCATGTTTAATTAAAAATCGAATCAAAACATAAATTATGTTTTGATTTTGTTTAATTATAAGTCAAAAAATATGATTTGATTTTTGAGTATTAAATTGAACCACAAATAGCCCTAACAGAAATACTCTTAATTTTTTCTACTTGTATATCACAGGATTCACAAAATATGTAAAAGAGAGGAAAACTAACAAAAACATTGCAAAATTGAACTGGTAGTTTTTACATTTTGATTATGCATAGGAGCTTCCTTCTGCAGAAGATTGGCCCACTATGAAACCTCCACTTGAGTGCTTGAGACACTTGACCTTGAAAACCGCCTTGCATTCTCACGAGTACCATGGAATCTCCTTTCTCAGCAGCTGCCCCTACATGGAGACCCTCACAATCGACATAGTCTCCTCAAACATTTTTCAGGTGAGTCACAACGATTCTAACTCATGTTTTTGCTAAAGCATTTTTTTAACAATTTTTACGACAAATGCTTGAACTTGAAACACTTGGATTGGAGTGTACTCAATGCTTCAACGAAAAAATTATAAGAATACAAAGTAAGCATCTAGTGCCCTTACATGTTTTTATCTAGATATGTTGGTAGGAGCGAGCTACCCATTCCACTGCAAGAACATGAATTCTTAGGCAAATCCAAGTACGTGCTGGTGCAGAAATGGATGAAGAGCCTGAAGGAGGTCGAGGTGAAGGGCTTTAGAGGAGGAGTCTTTGAAGTGGCAGTAGTGGGATATATTATGGTACGTGGAAGGGGACTGGAGAGGCTCTCCATTGTGCTATCCAAGGATAAGGGGGATCCTAGTCAAGAGGACCAGTACCGTATGCACGTCGAGAGGTTGCTGAGATTCCCAAGAGCCTCAGCCTCTTTGCGTGCTTCAATCAACTGAAAGTGAAAAAAAATAATTGAATTTTTTCCCCCTTATAGCGTAACCTTTTGTATATGTAAAGTTGTCGGATTTGTTTTTACCTCGTACAACCAGGGACAGATGTACATTGAAGGGGGGGCTGTGGCCCCCTCCCTTCAATTTAAAATATTTGTACTAATTAAATATAATTCATATATAAATATAATTTTAGCCCTCACAAAGAAAAATTTTCCCTGTTTACTTAAGAGATTAACTTATATGAATAAATTAAAAATTTAGAGATAAAATTAAAAGATCAAGAGTAACAACTAAATATTTATAACAAAAGAATTAAAATGTTTAAGGATAGTTTAGAAAATTTATAAGGATTAAAATATGAACTTAAAAAAATAATTATACTAAAATACTAACAAATCCTTTGCATCTTTGTAAATTTATCTGTCTATCTCTTTATCTTATCATATTTATCATTACTAATAAATTTAACTTACCAAAAGTAAAATTAAGAAGATTTTAACTAAACATTAATCTAGATTTTGTAATCCTGAAATAAGTAAGTAATATTTTAATTTATAATTTTTTGATAAAATGTAAAATGTTGTATCTTTTAGACTTCTCAGTTTTTCTATTATTATTATACTTTAGTATTGGTAAATTTTATTAAATTTCTAATTTTGTGAGACAGGTTAGTTTATACATAATATTTTTAGAATTTTTTTATGCAATTAAATTCAAAAATTAAAAAATAGAGGTATTAAAATTTGGTAAAAAAATAGTCTTATTTAAGAATCATCTACGAGGATATTAAATAATATATATATATATATATATAGACACACACACATATACATATATCACTTTTCATACTTCTTCTCACCCCTTACACATAAATTCTAGATCCATCACTGTGTATAACAAATCAATAAAGTTTTGGATACAGTCAATGGATTCTAGAGGAGCTCAGCATGGTAAGTTGCTGATTGAACTACAAATATAGCATCATTTCTTTCAGGCTCATTGTAACCTATACAATCTAGTTTGGCGTGCTAACAAATTAATTTCCTTTCTCTAACGTGTATCATTATGCTAATTCGTTTAGTTTTAAATTTGATTTATTATTATTTAATAAATATTTAAATAAATTATTTATTTAATTTTTTATTACTAAATACATATGTATATGCACGCATATTTACACGTGTGTGTGTGTGTGTATACATGTATATATATTTGTGTATATATATATAAATATGTAAATATATATATTCACATAAGTATAAAAATATGTACATATTTGTGTGCCCACACATATACATATATATATGTATAAATACGTAAATACATATATTTATGCATTTATGTGTGTATATATAAATATATGCACATACATATATTTATCTATTTATATATAAAAAGTATAATGTGTGTATTTATATAAATCTTATGTGACAACCCAAACTCATTTCGATTTTGGTTTTATATAACTTTACATATTTGATTACATTTTAAAATTTATTTGGAAGGAATTTGAAGGGTTTAAGGTGAAAGGAAGCATATATGAAAGTTTCGAAATAAGTTAAGTTTTTATTAAAAAAAAAAAAATTACTGTAGTGCACTGTAGCACACTGGGCACTGGATGGGGCGCGTTATAGCGCCTCCAACATTGCTCGAGGCGCGCCATAGTGCACTAGAGGCAAAAAATGAGTGCCATAATACGCTATACACTAGAAAGACCGTGACGTAGCATGCCAAATCGTGCCATAGGGTACTGTAACGCGATTTTTCACATTTTTACAAATTTTTAGAATTTTCAACCCCTCCAAGGATCCTTAAAATCTCTTAGACTCCTATAACTATAAAATAAAGATTTTGATAACATTTAAGGTATTCAAAACTCATCCAAAAATTTATGACTAAAAATAAAGATAAAGTAAAAGGGGCAAAATGATCATTTGAGGCTGAATAACCCACTTATATAAAGCCCAAGGTGTCATTCTAGAGCCTTCTAAAGGCAAATCTCACCATTCTAGAAAGAGAAAAAGAGGAGAAGAGGAAACCAAGAAAAAAGTGAGAAAATGTACGAAAAATGGTTAAATCTCAAACCCTCTTTGATTATTCTTCAATATTTTTATATATTTGACTACATCTCTTCATTTTATAATTTTTAATCGGTTTAAAATCTTTTATTGATGATGTTTTGAATGGTGTAGAGAGAGAGATGTGGGTTTAACCTCGCCCATAGAAAATATTGTATAATTTTTGTGGATTTAGCTAAAATAACTTTAGATTTTGCTATATTTGAGTGAATTTATATTCATGGTAGATTTTGTACATCTTAATTTTGTCTTTATGATTGAAAATAAAGAGAGAGTAAGAGGGATTAGTTAGAGTAGAGAAAGAAGCAAAAGATTGTTCGGTTTGAACCTAAAAGTTGAGAGAAAGAGTAAGAGCTCGTATTCATGTAATTTAAGATATAGACATGCATTTACACTTTATATATAGGATATTATTCCCATGCATATGTGTATTCCATGTATAAATGAGGAAGGCAGAACTGAGTCAGACCCCGAGCCTACAGCTTCAAGATATCATTTCTAGACCATCTATATTATGTGCATGGTATATTTTCTAAACTTAATTTTTTAATTAAATATATGTTTTAATGAGAACATGAACTGTTTTAAAATTATGAGTGTATATTTGGTATGAAAACATGGAAATAATGTGTTTATATTCTACTTTTATCATAAATGTAAGTTTTAATGATTTCATAAGACTTTAATATTCCAGCACTTAGACTAGAAAGTCAGAAGTCATCTAGGGCAAGTGGCAGTTCTACATAAATGACATTGGACCCAGTGGGGTCTCAGAGCACCACAAACTATGTCTGCTTAGTCTAGAATGGTGACTTATGGTACAGACTGCACAATATAGTAGCGTCCGGCGTATTTAGATTATTTTATATTTTAAATATTTTACTGCCCTCAGAAATTGTTAACTGTGCACACCGATTAAAGTTATATGACCTATACATGACTATAACTTAAATGTGATTCTCTGGTATATTTCTTCATGTTTTTATTATGAATTATGTGTATGATTGATATATACCAAAACAGAAAACATTTGATATGAAGTTCCTCGTTTATACTTTCATTTGTTATAAATGTTTATAACGATAGATTTGTATGCCATAGATATGGAACCCTTTCTGTTTCC